CATTTTTTACTATTAGTTAATGTTTTAATTAATCCGATTGGATGATTCACAACAGTATTAATGAAAGTAATTGACATTGTAAGTGTATGTGTTGTAGGTACTATTGTATGTAGGACGATAGAGTATTTATTTTTCGTACTGTCTGGCTGTTTATCAGTAACAGAATATTAAGTTTCAAGTTCATTGCTATGCTATTCCACAAAGCCTAAAGAATAATGTAATAAAACACGCATAGGACATTAAACTTAACTGCCTATAAACTAAGGTTTAAAATCGATTAACCTGACGCCTCGCCTGTAAAATTTGGCGCGACATTCCAAGAATTGGCGGGGAACGAATTTCAAACATGCAGATTTTTTTTTTGTTGTAGGCACGGTTCAAACCGATACAGCCTTTGCGAGATGAGGTTTTAAAATCAGGTTTTGCCTTTTTGGATTCGGGCTTAATAATTACCTACATGTCTACCTATTTCAATCTTGGCTTTGCTTTTTTATTTAAATGTTTTTGTTGATAAGTAAGTCAGGTCCGAAGAATCCAGATATGATGAATAATGCTGCCGTCCATTAACAAGAAAGACGTTAACCCTCAGAGGGTCGATTTTGAGCTTTCAACGCCATTGTATGTAGAAAAAAATTCTCTATCGATCTGTCTAAGTGTTATATTTTTAACATTTATACTTTTTGAAATAATTTTTACGAAAAGGACGTTAAACACTAAAATAATAATAGTTTACGTAACTTAAAGTACGTTAACCATCCTTATTTAACTAAAAGGGCACATGTAACCCTTGACGCCATAATTTTTAATATTTTTCCTAAGTTTTGCTTGGCAAAAAAGACGTTTTTTCGACGCTGCTACACTAAAAAGTCTTAAAGATACTTTAATTACTTTTAAGCCAAGAAACAGTTTATTAGTTTCTATAAATATCCCTAGCTAAAAAGGCGTTTAATAATATTACTACACTAGAAGGACGTTAACATCTACTAACGACGTTTTAGCATAGGACTCGTACAATAATAATCAAGAAATACTTTTCTTACACCTCTAACCACCTTTAGTTACTCATTATATGGTATAAATACTCCGCTTAAAAGACACTAAGCCAAAATACTTGGCTAAAAAGACGCTACGTGCTCTCGCCTCTCACCCCCGCGCAGTTGTGGCCCTAGTCTCTATCGTCGTCTTCGCGTGTCATTCGTGGAGCGGAAGGTTTCCCGCCATATTTACAATGACTGACCAAATACCCAGGTAAGTAAATACTATTTTAAAGTAGTTATTGCAGTAAATAAATAATTTATGGGTCTCATAAGCGCAAAGCTTCAAAATGGTGCCCGGGAACGAAGACGTTTATAACGTTCTACCATGCGCCATGCCAAATACCTACTTACCTACCAAATAGCTATCGCGGTCGACCGTGGGTTTGCCGCCATAATTTTTGCATGATCTTAGATGTAAGTTAATTATTGATTAGGCAGCTTATAGTAGACGGAATTATTCAAATTGGGCTATTTTATTTTGCTGGCTTATTATTATGTCTGCGTCCTATGCCGATCTGGCGGTCCAGACTACGTACTCAAAGATTAAGGATTCGAATATCGCATGGCCAAAACGTGAATATGATACTTTGAACTTGTTATTGGTTTAAGTTTCTCTTTCTTTAGGTGTATTGTGTGCACAGAAATAAATGAAAAATATAGATATTTGTTCTTAAAACATCGTTTATATATACATTTATACAGTTTCAAATTTGCCATAATAATAAAGTGATGGTTAGTTTATAGCTAGATCATTTCATTGGCGTGAACATTGACCAGATCAGACTAACGAGTTTGAGCTTTATCTGTCGCTCGGTGTGTCCATCTACATTTTAGCATGTTTTTTTTTAACAGATCCAGAAGATCAGTGTTTTCATCACGAGCAAAAGCAATACTTAATATGGTAGGTGCTGAAAATAATTGTGTTACCACAATTTCGACATCACATGACAGCAAAGAAACAACGAAAATAAAAGTGGATACAAAAATTGAAAAGACAATGAATAAACTTTACGCACGGCCATACTCCATGACTTCCCAAGTGTTTGACAAATTCTGCGAGACTCAAACCACATTACGTTCTCACTACCTTCAAGATCTAGCAATACATGTAGATAACTTGAACGAGACCTTTTCTTCACGTAATACCGCCTGTGAATCATTACCTTCACCAAGTAAACCACGTATGCTTGAACTCAAGGATTTGACTTGTTATGAAAAAATGCCGTCTATATCTGAAGAACAACAACTGTGTGAAACTAATAATTTAAGAAGTCCGGCTGCACACTTTACCAATAGTTTTATGCCAGAATCACCATTGCCAAAATTAAATAGTCATTTATCCCTTGATTTCGATTCTGATGACTCAGTTCGCGACAAGGACTATGTTCCCAACTCAAGTGATGATTCTGATGAAGACTTTTCCACTACATCTTCAAGTCAAAAGGTTTTGGTCAAAAGTAACTTACAGGCATCAACATCAGCCAGACATGCACCTCTCCGCTACAGCAATCGGTCAAAACCATTTATAATATTATTTTGTCAAAGAAAAGACTTGATACTGTCAATGAAGCAATACACAAGAGTATAATTAACAATTCCGACTGCATGTCATCTAAAAACTGTCATTTAATGCCGGTCGATTGTCCATTAATAACAGCAAAGTAATAGTACAGTCTCTCAAACCAGAAAACTTCATAAACATTCCAAATTTGATATCAGATAGGCGTATTCAAAAATCCAACCCTAGAGCATATTTAAAAAACATGGTACAGGTAACATTTAAACGAAACGATTTTGACCTTTATTATAAAAATAACTTCGACGACGAATTTACTGCATTGCGATTCATGAACGATAAATACCTGAAAAGTCCTCATATCATGAGTATTTCTTATCGTTCAACACCAAAGGGATTGACTCTTCGAGAAAATCTACCATCATAGATAAGTTAGCTGCCATAATTCCTCCACACAAACTAACATTTTGGAACAATTTACCAGTAATTGATGTAGGAAATACAAATGAGACTGACAAATAATATATAATTAAGTAACTAAAAGACTGATTCAAGTGCCATTTTTTAATTTTAAGTAATAATTGATTTAGAATATTATAACGTTAGACATTAAAAATGTCAAATATTCATAATAATTTTGTTTAATTGTTTTGAAAGGTTTTGTTAATTTTTATTCAGGTGTTTTAATTTTCCAAGCCAGGATCTCATTTTATGTTTTAAATATCCTCTTATTTTTAAGTTTTATAAAATGTTAATAAACGAATTGAAAATATTTTGGTTTTTGTTTTCGAATATTCAGTCCTTAATGCATAACTAAAAAGCAGTTAAGATAAAAGTTTTAACGGTTAACGACCATTAAGCGTAGTAAGTATGAAAGAAAATGTTCCTAAAAAGACACTAAATTCAAAAAACTTACCTATATGGACACTAAAATACTATAGTTGTAATATAGCTAAGACTGAATACTAAATGGAAATCGGAAATACATAAATATAAAGCCGCTAAGTAACTAAATGCCTTTTTAGCTAAGTAATTTTGAATAGTTTTTGTACACAAAAATAAAACACTTCAAGTATGTCGAAATCATAAGCTATAAAGTCGCTGAGGTGTACTTAGTGCCTTTTTAGGTAAGTATTTATTTAAAAATAACCAAGTTTTGCACTGCTGAAAGGGAAAAGGTGTTTTTTTTCTATTTAAAACAAATTGTATTTAAACAAGGTTATGGCTATTAGTTTGTAAATTTAAAACGCTATCTTTGAACGTTTAATATAATGTTTTACGACCAATGGTTTTCAAGTGGCATAGTTTTGAAATATTTACCGCGTTTTTCACTCATATCTCAAAATTTGATTTTGTGGCTTTGCGCCCTTTAAGTTAACGGACGGCAGAATGCAAAATATTATTTCTAAAGAGTTAAATTCTAATAAGAATGCGTAATGACGTTACACAATTTCTCCTTGATATTTCAGCCGCTTGTTTAATAAGAGCTGCATAAATTATTTCAACAGTGCACTGGCGTGCATCTTCGTGCAAGTGTAATTAGAGCTCCGCCAGAATGTAAGCAAGTAAATAACAGGGAGCGCGTGTCACAGTGCGTTGTGCTTCGGTCAACGCCTTCACAACTAGTCACACAACTTTTTAAACATAAATAACTATACATTATTATTATTATACCTTAAATTCACAGCTTATTTAAAATCCCAACTACTGCTTCTGTCGCAAAAATATTGACATCCAAAAAGTTTGCAGCCAAAAAGTTCGATTAATTAAATAAAAACTTTTATCAGAAATGTCAATAAATAAAAAAAAGTATAATTTAAAACTTATTTTACAAGGTTCCGTTCACTGATTATTACATTTTTTAAAATCTATTTTTTAATAAACTTTTTATTTATAAACACAATATTGACGACGGACGATTATGTTTTATCGCGCAGGCGTTTAGTATCGAGCGTTGCTTCCCCGCTAGCCGGCGGCAAACTAGTTTCGTGTTCATTTGGATTCCCACCGTTGCACTGCATTTCTCCGCGGCCAGACAGAAACAATACTGCCCTCTCTTTCTGAAGCTTTTTTACGTCACTATGAAGCTTATCACTGATACTGATTCAATAAAAATAAGGAATGGACGTGCTTTATATGCTGGCAGAGTATAAAGAACAATCGAATGTAGTCGATTTCAATGTAAATTGTTAATGATTATGAGAAACACTGTTGGCGTTATAAGGAATGGAATATAAATAGATGTGGTTATTTTTAGGATGTTGCTCTTGAACTTCGTAGCGTAGTAAGTAAAGTACCTAGTAAGGAATATTGACTGCCTCATTGGTTGAACAGTCGTATTTACCATCGAGCATGAGACTTCGGGCTTAATTTTAAATACCTACTTGTTTGTATTGTAACTTTCGTGAGACATACTAAATAAATTATTATGTTTTCGGCTTACTCACGTAGTAATATGCTAGCATGCTAGCATGTAGCAGCGCGACAGTCGCCGCGTCGCGGGTCGCGAAAAGCTGCTCATGAATATGAGCCTCTAGCATGGCTTGAAACTAGTCGAGTTCCTCGTCGAATTACTACGTGAGTAAGCCGAAAACATAATTACCCTTGTTAATTATAAAAAGGTAAGCAGTGTAAGATTTTGTTTAAACGCCTAGATAAAAACTACCTATTTTTATTAACTGCAAGACGCATTTAGGGGCTGATTTTTGTCAGGCGCTAGGCAGTCGGTGTAACGTAAATGCGACTATTGCTGGTTCTCTTTTAGATTGAAGCTTAATACCTAATTACGGCCGAGACACCATACGAGATTATTAATTGCTCAGCAGTCGCTCTTCCGACCACTCAACCAACAAGTCAGTTGCCATTACTCTTTACAACTTAGAAATATAGGCGTGAAATACAAAGTTGTAAATAGTATTATGCATATATATATGTATATCTTATATCTATATGTACATATTTTGTACAATTATTATTTTCTGTGGTAGTGTCTTAGTAAAAGTAGAACAAGTAAAACTGTTTGGGTGAAACCGAACGTTAACGTCAATACAGCATGTCATTTTGACATATACATACATAACCTCAAAACTGAAATAAATTCCACCTGTGTTGGCTGTGTTTTGTTTGTGAAATTGCGTTTAATGCTCATAAATTGTTGAAAATGAGTCAAGATAACGTCAGTAATACTAATGATAATCATGAACGCGACGATCATAAGAGGAGACCGCGTAAAAAGCGTAAGAACTTCCTTGCGAACGCAAAAAAATATGCTAAAAAGGGACAAATGGGGCGAGGAACGAAGATTCCTGAAGAATTGTACCAATATTTCGTTGGTATCTTAGACGCTATGAAGCAGGGGATTGAAGACAAGGATGAGAGAAGTAAGTTGATTCATTATTACATGATATTTCTGTGTTAAAAATTGTTCGAACATTAACAAGTTGGTAAGAACCAACACTTCTAACAATTTTGCTCTTAAAAGTTATTAGTTTAAACATAAATGTTTTCTTACCATTCTTTATTATTAAAATTAATAATTTAAATGTGTAATACTTGTTTAACAGTACTTGAGGCTTAGGTATTTAGATTTACACAAATGTGGTGCAATGCAAACTATATTCAAACTCAATAGCATCATCAACAGTCTATAACTGCTCACTGCTGAGCAAAGCCTCTTCTTACACAAAGATGGTGTGAGCATTAATCACCACGCTTGCTCAATGCAGACAAACTTATAATTAGAAATTATCAGCCCAGGTTTCCTTACAATGTTTTCCTTCAGTGTTTGCCAGTGGTGTCTATATAATTTTAGAAAGTACATATAACTCAGAAAAAGTCACATTGGTATTTGCCCTTGGTAGGTTATTAACCCGCACCGTCATGCATGAGAAGTAGGCGTCTTAAACCTCTGCCACCACAACTCAATAATAATTATTTCAATTAAACCCAAATGTAGTACTTTTGAAACTTCAACTAGTTCTGGTTACCAAAATTCCTTAGCATAAGTATTAGATTTTCTATATCCGGGTGTACCAATCAGGGTAAAGCAAAAGTATTACAAACTGAAGTAATATGGGTAATTCTTATACATAAAATTAAATGAAAATTTTCATTCATCATCCTTATTTCTAAAATATATAATTTCTTTTTTTAGCTGCCCTAGTAAATAATGTATTGGAACGCACGAAAGGAGAAGAACAGAATGTGATCGGCAACCAGCTCGGTTGCAGAGTTGTAGAGCTCTTACTGCCCTTTGCATCCCCAGAAGACCTAGAACGGTACATGGAAGTCCTGTCACCAGACCTACGTAGACTCTGTTCTGACAACTTCACCAGTCATGTGGTAGAGACCTTACTAAGAGCAGCCTGTGAACGAGCTACAGAACATTTACAAACCGGTGAAGACAATTCATCAGACTCTGATGAAGAAGAAGCACCGAAGAAAAAGAAGGCAAAACTAGAACCGAAACCGGAAAAGAAATATGATGAGGATCACATTAAGAAATGCTACGAATTTACTATTAAAATATCTAAATATGCTCTGAATAACTTAGAAGATTTCGTGTGGGATCAATATGCAAATCATATACTCCGTAGTGTACTTAAATGTCTCAGTGGCATAACATTACTACCGGGAGAGAAGCCTAAAGTAAATATATTTAAAGACAGTATAGATGACGGTAAAGGCATTCCACCTCACACAGGTAAAATGGTATACAAGACAGTTCCAGACGAATTCAAACAAATAGTCAAAGAGTTTGTGCACCGATTGACTTCGTGGCCACAGTTTAAAGACCTACCGTACCAGAATATTACTTCTGGGTTAGTTCAAGTACTGTTGTACGCAATTAAGAATGTTGATAAGAATCTGACGAAGGAGTTGTTACGTCAACTGTTGGATGAGAGCTTTGCTCCGGAGGGCTGGGTGAACAATGGTACGGATGATAAGAAGGAGGTCAAGGATGGTGAAGGAGTAGCCGTGGATACTTCGAATCTACCGCCGGTGTTCGAATCTGAGCCTGCCGTGAGGTAAATCATACATCACACAGTACTTGGACTATTCATATAATAACAACATGAACATGTTGACAGCACGGTTGGCGCGGTGGCTGAACATCTGCCTACCGCGCAACGTGTTTTGGGTTCGATTCCCGCACGGAACAACCCTTTGTGTGATCCACAGATGGTTGTTCCGTGTCTGGGTGTCATGTGTAGGTGAACTTGTATGTTTGTAAACGCACCCACGACACAGGAGAAAAACCTAGTGTGGGGCAACTTGTGTACATGTAAAAAAAAATGTGTACAGTAATGAAATGGACAAGAGGTTTTATACAATAGACTTTTAGCTAGTGCACAGTCTTATATTAAAATGTTTAACTGTGTTCTGTATTGGATGTAGAATTCCAATAGATTTCGTTGATAGAACAATATATTTTACTAATTACTGCCTTCGTTACATTTCTAATTCAACTGTAGATGTACTGTTTTTGTTTGATCAACAAACAATAAATAAAAATCTTTTAAATATATAACTTAAACTGTCAAACACCAAGCGGTCACCGGTGACCGCGACCTATTGTTCTTTAATTGTGTCTATAAATACGGTACTCGACGAGTTAATAACAGTTGCCCGCGACTTTGTCCGTCGTCGATGACTTTTAGGACATAATTATCTAATTTTTAGTATCAATTTTCTAAAATAATAATTGCCTATGTTAGTCCTTAGTATACTAGCTACCTGCCAATAAAAGTCCCGTCAAATAGACAGACAGACAAACATTAAAAAATGTTATCGTATGTATATTCATATGCGTGTAGTAAAGCGGTGATTTCAATATTACAAACAGACACACCAATTTTATTTATTCTGTATAGATGAAGTTATCACCTCCATTTCGTCAGTTATGCTGTGTTCTAAAGTAAATAAACTACATTGCAGGATGTTAGAGGCGGCGCTCTTCGTGTCGAAGAAGAAGACATACACGCAGATATACGCGCGCTGCTTCATCAACCGGCTCGGGCAGCTCGCCTGCATGCCCATGCTCAACTACACCGTGCAGCGACTCATTGACAACTGTCAGGTCAAGGAAGAGGTCAGACACTTATATTAATATCGACTGTACTTTCTATCTAATTATAGGTTTCGTTTACAAAAAAAGAGGATTAACTAAAAACCACGGGTTACTCACGTAAGAAAAGCTCTTTTAGTTCCGAACCACAGATTTAGTTAATTTAGTATGTCTCACGATCGTTATTATAAAAAAAGAGAATGTCTACGCCTGGTAAATTAGTTTATTTATTTGGACTCGCAACAAAAGATACACTTACATGCATAACTTAAATATAATCCAACACAAATTAGACTAACCTTGTGATCCTTCAATGAAAGGGAATCATATCATGTGAATACAAACATACAGCAATTAAATTAAATTAAATTACAAAAATGTCAAGAAAACAAATAACGACAACATAACACAAGTTAAGTTAAACAATTTTTAATTTAAAATTTAAAATTTGAAATTAAATGAAATAGTAGTAGCACGGAGTCTGGAAATGTGCCCGGTATATGGCAATAGGCTCACCCCCTATTACATGGGACTCATAACATAAATAGTGAAAAGTGGGTGTTACATTGTACAGTGGCATTAAGTGCCGTAATGTGCACCTCTGCCTACCCATTCGGGGATAAAAGGCTTGATGTTATGGTAGTCTTTATGAAATAAATGTCGAATAGTTGGAGATCACACTTTCGGAGTATCAAGGTTACAACAGAATACAGGCGCCTGGTCTCTGTTAAATTATGTAGTCCTTTAGTAAACTTAGAGTCTCTTACGATACCCGCGGGAAAATTAGGGATGATGACAAAAAAAATGTACCTATTGATCTAACATAGGTTGATATGCTAGAGCGTTTTTAAATAATTAATAGCGTTGGACAAAAAGTTGTTATTTTCTGTTGCTCATTCCCGCCAATGAGCAACAGAAAATAACAACTTTTTGTCCAACGCTATTAATTATTTAAAAACGCTCTAGCATATCACGTTAATACGTATAAAACGCGCTAGCATAAACGTTCATAAAGATAACGACTGATGTTGTAAGTTGTACTTATGCAGTTGATTGATAAGTGCAATTAATATGGCTGTGTTATAACAATGTTAATTATAAGTTTTTATATTAAGTGACAACATTATCGCAGTGGATGTAACCTGTTAGGGTGTGTTGATTTAAATCCATAAATAAATGTATTTAACTTTGTTGTCACAGTTGAATATTTATTAAAACGTTGTTAACATTCCATTTGTTATTGTCTAGTTCGAGCCAATGTTCGACGAGCTCTCAGATCGTATGAGCGCCCTCCTCGCCTGCGGTAACACTGGCGTACTGGTCGCACTCGCCAAGGCATGCCTCAGGCTCAAGGCTAAACAGGCACAGTATCTTAATGTAAGTAAATATTATAGTTTTGTTTACTATAGTGAACATTGTCATTTCATCTACTTATCAAAGATGTTTTTATTGCTTAAAATCGGCAATCAGTCGTAAGACTATAAGCAGATGAGTTGAGTTTAATCTTGATTGGAAGACGAGGCCATCGCCTCATCTGCCTTTTCAGAAGGCATCCTTCCTCTTTAGTCTTTGTATCAAAGATGATAGTGACGATAATTATTGTGTATCCATCATCGGCAACAATTTATCCACCTATACAAAGGCATTCCTTTTAAAAGGAAGTTGCCTCAATCCCCAGGCTGGTGAAATGGCTTAGGGATCACAGGTAAGCTTATTTGCCGAAGAGAACACTACTGGCCGTCTCTTGGTAGCTGGTGACGGCTTTAATAACTCTTGGGACAAGTCTGCCACAGTTGCCCAACCGCTGCTACTCCTGTAAGCGAGAATTTACTAGGAAATACCATATAATACATTGATTTGACTTTTTTTCAGAGTCTAGAAGCAGCCCTCGACTGCTCCTCCGCGGAGCACCAGAAGTACTTCCCAGTACTATGTCTGCGCCTATTGCCGCGGGAGCGCGTGGACCTCGCCGCGCTGGACAAGGACTACTTCATTCATGTACACGGGTCTGTCATACTACAGGCTGTACTGGACTTCCAGGTATGTAGGACCCACTAAATATTACAATACATAGACATAGAAATAAGTATCATCGCTGTTTTAAGAATCCTATCTGAGTCAAGGCACTTGATAAAATGCTTTTAATAGCCAAGGAGGTACTACAATAGGGTAAATGCCTAATTTTTTTACTTTAATGTCCGTCTAGTAGATTATTTAAAAACATTAGATACGTATTTTTAATTTTCTTACGGAAACGTATAGTTTTGACGATATATTGATTTGAAATGTCGCGTGACGTCACTTTTGTGTACGATTTATACTCTAAAATGACGTAGTTACTTTCCACTCCTAAACTTTGTTTCGTTTTATCTAAGTATTGTTTTCTTATATTACAAAATAAAAAAAATACGTGTCTAATATTTTTTCTTTACCTAACTGACGGAGTAATTAGATTTTTAATTTTCATACTCTGTCATCATCCCAATTGTAATGACTGACTACCTGACTCATTTAATGACTGAATGACTGACTGACACACACTAAGAGAGGATTTTAAACAATCCACCCCAAGGAAGTCAAAAGAATATGTATGAGAGTTCCAATTAAACAAAACTTCGTATTTTGGTTACATTGACGTAAAACAATTAAACTTTGGAAAAGTTGCATTATTTTTGATCCAATTTCAATCTTAGGTTATTTAAGGGAAGTGGAAACTAGCGTTTTTTCTTCTTCTCCTCTTATAATATATTCTGATTCACTTCGTTGCGGGAACCAAGACAGTTACTCATGTCCCTGGGACGCGCCGGACTTCAGTGTTCCGGTGTTTTCATGGTTGTATCTACTGGATCCTGGCTTACAGGAGTTGCAGTAGTTTTGGGAGGTTCTGGCGGGCTTGTCCAAAAAAACAACAATTTAAAATAATCGACTACCACACCAAACCGAAAATAACAGGTAGTTTAAATCTAAAATATTTCCTTAATATACTTCTCCTACCTTCCAGCGTCCAGCAAAAGCAGTATCAGGTCTTCTAGAGCTGACGGGAGACCAGCTCCTCATCATAATGTGTGATGCCAAGGGCTGCCATGTCGCTGACGCATTCTGTAAGGGACAGTTTGTGGGAGTCAAGGCACGGGACAAACTTATATGGAGGCTGAAGGTATGTTACAGGATTATAGGCCCTATTGTTATGCCAGTAAGGATGGTAAGACACGGGGCAAATTTTTATAAAGATGCTGAAGGTATGTTATAGGATTATAAGTCTTATTGTGATTGGTGTAAGGATGGTTCTTGTTTGACATTGTGTAAGGAATAGTTTGTGGAAGTGAAAGGCGCGGGATAAATTTTTATATGAAGGTTGAAGGTATGTTGTTGGATTGTAGGTCTTATTGTGATTGGAGGAAGGATGGTTTTTGTTTGGGACTGGTGAGAATGTAACATAGATTTAGAGGCACAAGGTATGTTATAGGATTTTTTTTAAGGGGGGAAAATCATCGAATTATTGCTCCTGCCTGGGTGTGGCGAGGAGGGAGGGAGTGTCAGACTCTTACTGACTAAAACCTATCCCGTTCCTTCTCCTGCACGTCGAGCCCGAGCCCCGGTTACACGTTAGGTTCTCCGCGACGAGTATGTTATAGGATAAGAGGTGTTATTGTAATGGTAGTAAGTTTTTATTTGGGATATATATGTATTACGAGTGTAAATTTTACAGTAATGGAGTAAGGATGTTATTCGTTTAAGATTAAAAACTGGGTATATGAGAATCGAAATGCCACACAAAAAGAAAATTCGTCCAACTTCTTTATTATACCTACCATATAGAAATAAGAATAAGAAATAATTTATTCATAAACCAGTTACAATTTTACAATTTGAGCTGTGAAAACCGCACTAGGCATAGCCTGTATCGCTGCTATCAAACATAATCCGTTTACCACCTTTTTACGAAAAGAATCTGCATGCTTACTGTAATATACAATATTAAATGATAATGTGAGAAAATGGGATGAATGTGTGTAAAGTCTGTGCAAGTGTTTATTAGTGTGTATTTGTTGTGTGTACTGTGTGTAGTAAAGGTAAAATACGTATCAAGCGAAACCTCGAAGACACTTATTTTCCGTTATTCCTTTTTTCAATTTACATTTTTGTCTTCCAGGGTTACTACCAAAAGCTAGCATTATCCCAGTACGGGTCGCGGGCTTTAGAGCAAGTATTCCAAGTAGCTTCTCTGGAGCAGAAGATAAAAATAATGACAGAATTGTCAGATAAGAGCAATCTTCTGAACAGTACACAGTATGGTCGTCTGATTGCTAGCAAATTAGAAGTGGACACGTTCAAACTGTCGCAGAAGAAATGGGAGGAGACGTGGAAGAAAAAAGAGGTTGTTAATAAATGAATTTGTTGATATTTTATGGTTTTATTTCAATTGATGTATCCTTTAACCACTTGAAATATCAGTATATGTGACACAATAGAAAACACATCGTGTCTCTCATAGATCTGCTTTCCATACCATCATTTTGATACCATGGATTAATTGAATTTTATTCAATTTTAAAATCCTTAAAATAAGCTTCACTGAATAGAATAGAGGCAATAATACTGGTGCTGTATGTGTCTGCTATCGGCACAATTTTTTTACATAGTATTTTTTAAGGGGGGAAAATCATCGAATGACTTCTCTAAGTGAGGCGGGAGTGGGTGTCAGACTCTTAAAAAAACTCAAACGCATTTATTTCAATGAAATCATATTTTGGTACTTTTGAAACGTCAACAAATATGAAATAAATAATAGTCTGTCAGTCAGTCCGTCAGTGAAGCTAGGCTTACTGACTAAAAACCACCCCAGTTCCTACTCCTGTACTTCGAGCCTGGGCCCCGGCACCCCGTTAAGTCCTCCGCGGCTCCGTATCGTAATTCTAAGCATACTTTCCTAATTGATAACTCTGGGAGCCGGGTTTCACTACCTTTAAAGTAACTTATGTGACAGATACTTCATACAAATTACATTGTTAATTCTTATCTAGCACACAGCGCCTATCCAGACATTTACCAAGTTCTGTATCCCAGCCCTTGTACAAAATAACTTGTTATAGTGTATCAAGGAAGACGGGATAGGCTACAACTTAAAATATAATTTCATTTTACCATCCAAGGACGTTGAATAGTCTCTTAAAACAACGACTGTAGCACCTGGCTACTTTAGACTTACACGCAGGATACACACACATTGATACTAAGGACATCTGTCGCGTGACATGGCCCGTTGTTACTCTTCATACATTACGGTGTTGCAAGTACACACACACATGAATACACTGCTGACTTTTGGTGCTTCAGTCATTTCTAAGTGACATTTCGTTCGCCTTTATTCAACTTCCTTGTTTTACCATCTCGATGCGCTACAACACAACCTTTTTAATGGTGACTTCTAATAAAACAAACAGGCGGATTTACTTAAATTACTTTATTAATGTATAGGATATTGACAGAGTCCATTACACCCTGCCGGTTCGACTCCCGGCTCCAACTTGCATATTTTATTCCCGCAGACATATTCACCCTTACGCACTTTCATTTGTAGCTCGCTAGGTGCCGCTGTAATCGATAATAGGAATGAATTAGTCATAATTTATTGAAATATTGTTGTGGTTCGTTTTCTAATGAAATGAAAGCCATATTTATTTGCTTAAAATGATTCATAATATACATATTTGCACATAAGGTGGATTTAAATGCCATGGGCATAAATCCATAAGTAAAAACTTTAGATGATTCAGAGACACACAAATTTGGCGGCTAGCTGATGATTCAGTCGCCAAAACTGCTTGGTTGCGCAACGCAATTGGTGTTTCAGTTGTCCATGGGCGGCGCTGATTGCTTACCATCAGGTGATCCGTCTACTCGTTTGCCTCTTATTTCAGACAAAGAACAAAAACTAGAATGAGATAACTACAAAGAGAGGCAAAGCACTTGTGCCGCCTCTGGTGTTACAGGTGTCCATGGGCGAGGCTGTTCGCTTACCATGAGCTAATCAGCCTTCTAGACTGTCTACTACTCCGTAAAAAACTACAACCTGTACTGAGTCTACATAAGGCCCTCTGCGACCTTTATAAGGTCGTCAGTCCATGTGGTATACCTATCTAAGGAATATTTATTGAAGTCTCACCTTCAGCAGGCCTGTAGCCTTTGACTCCGCCTCCAGGCCTGGCCCAAGGCGACCGCCTAGCTCGAGGCCCAAATTCGTCAATCTTGGGCTTGTTGATAAGCACGTGTCTTCTGTCAGAGCTTATACTGGCTGCTGACGCCAGGCAGACGGCCAGGCACACGGCGATGAGGAGTAACTGGAATTGGAGGTAGGATATAAAGCATTGCCTTTTCAATTCTTTTGTAAATCTTTAAGTGTGGGAGAGCCATGCTTCAGCATGAATGGGCCGGCTCGACCGGAGTGATACCACGGCCTCACAGAAGACTGACGTGAAATAACATTGTGTTGTGTTTCGTCGTGTGAGTGAGGCTACCGGATGCCCAATTATCATATACTCCTATACTTTTTTCATTATGTGTTATATTTCTTATTCTTTATTCTATAAAGCTGACGGGTTGTTTGTTTGATTGAATGTGCAAATTTATGGAATTGCTGGCCCGATTTGAATAACTATGTTTGTGCTGGATAGTCAGTTTATCAAGGAAGACTACGCTATAAAAGATCAAGCCACTATTATTAATAGCTGAGCAGAACGGGTGAAATCGCGCGGGGGTACTTATCTAGTTAATAATATACCTACTCAATGCGCTACTGCCGGGCAAGGGGTCTCGGGTTCGATTCCCGGTTCGGGCAAAGTATTACTGGGTTTTTATAAATTCTCAGTAGTAGCATGGACTCTGGAATTGTGCCCAGTATATGGCAATAGGCCCTATTACATGGTACTCATAACATAAATAGTGAAAAGTGGGTGTTACATTGTACAGTGGCATAATGTACACCTCTGCCTACTCCTTCGGGGATAAAAGTTATGTTATGCATCAATACCTAATCCCTCGAGAAGTCCTCCTTTTGCGAAGCAGTCATGCTAGCTAAGGAGGAGGCGGGACGCGTGAGGCAGCGAAGCGCTGCCTCCTCGCAACCCAGCCATCGCGAAGGACACACCGGGCATCGGGGATCGCGGGACGATCTCCGGCCACCGTAAGCGCGGGCCTGCGGACGGCGAGCATGGGTGGCTCCCCGTCCGACCAGAAACAGACCCGAGCGTACGGCGCGTCGCGTTCCGCGCGCGCCTCAAAGAACCATCAGACCACAACAGATGGGGCCCAATAGGGCCGATGCCGATTCGGAGTCGCGGAGAACCTAACGGGTAACCGGGGCTCCGGCCCGACGTGTAGGAGAAGGAACGGGGTGGTTTTTAGTCAGTAAGAGTCTGACACTCCCTCCCGCCTCACCCAGGTGGGAGCATTCATTTGATGATTTTCCCCCCTTAAAAAAACACTGATTTTGATCTGTAATTCTTCAACTTCCTAAGTAGATAGGTATTCATTTTATCATTCCACTTAATTGAATTTGGATCAGGTATGTTATGATGACATGCATTGCGTAATAGAACAATAGAAATCCCTCTCAAATAAATAAATAAATAAGAGGTAGGTACCTATACACCGGAAGAATTTCCACGTCGAAAATTCAAAAACAACGTCTAAGTATTTTTATAATAGGTAACTATAAATACTTATCGTGAGACATACTAAATTAACTAAAATTGCGGGTTACTCACGTGAATATACGGAGAAAAGCTCTACTAGTTTCGAACCACAGAGAGAGAGAGAGAGAGAGAGAACCTCTGTGGTTCGAAACTAGTAGAGCTTTTCTCAGTACCTATATTCACGTGAGTAACCCGCGATTTTAGTAAACGTCTACGTAAGTACGTACTTCGCCGAGATCGAATTTGTCACTAATTACATTATTTGTAATTGTAACTACTTAACACGTTAAACGCCATGGGGGTCACCGGTGACCGGCGTTAGCGGAGGATTTACCTTCAACAGTTTTTTATTGGCAGTCAAAGTCTTAAACAACATTCTTAGAGGGAAGTCTCGCTCTCCCCAAATTCCTCCCGGACGGTTTCCCCAGCTGAGCAGCTATTTTTGGGCATATTTTTTCTAAGGCGGGGAAAATCATCGAATGGCTTCTACCGCCTGGGTGCGGCGGGAGGGAGTGTCAGACTCTTACTGAAAAATAACCACCCCGTTCCTTCTCCTGCACTTCGAACCGGAGCCCCGGCAACCTTTTATTGCAATCTGGCAATCTCGCGATCTCTTATGCCGAGTATTTCATCCATATTTCATTAATTTCATTTTATGTACGTTCTCCTTTTGGGCGATGTGTGGGATGTTTTTTTAACCAAATGCCTTCTTTCCTACAGATTTATCAATTTGAGCCAGTAGTGCGAAAGAAACGCACGTTCAAACAAACATACTCTTTAGCTTTTAGTATTAAATACAGATTTCCGTAATAAAACAGATGTTTAAATAGTCGACATTTAAATAAAGTAGACTTCCTTGAATTGATCAGACGTACGGACAAACCTGTTTGTTATCATTACTCCACATCAGAATAATATATCAGGTACGAGACCACGAGCAATGACCCACGCAACAACGCGCAATAACAAGAATGAAATAATAGTCGCAATTTCTACGATAAGATGAGGCAAAAAATTAATATGGTTATTCCTATACACTGCGCACTGGTTACATATATTTTGTAGCTACACTTGGGAGCAAAATATAGAGCCACTGGTATTTTATTTTCATTTTATCGCTATAACCCTCTATAAAAGTCATACACGCATGATGGTTATAACTTTGCATGCAAAACCGACAAGCATAACCGAGTTTCATACCACATATACACGTTAGGTTTTGCATGTACATGCACCGATAACTGTACAGTTTAGTCACATACACGCTAGGGCTTGCCTGTCGGTTATGCATGCACGGCATAAACCATCATGCGAAACCTAGCGTGTATGGCCACCTCAACTTCTAAAAAATATTGATTTTACAACCAAATACTCTCATTTTAAAGGTAACTAAATTACCTTTTATACAACATAATATCAACCAATAAAATACTTGTATCAGTAAATATTTATCAATAAATTAAAAAGAAAAAATGCAAGTGGCTCCGTTTCTTTGCTCTTAAGTGTAGATAAAGATATAAGTAATAGTTTCTGACTAGATTAGTTAAGTACTTAGGTACCTAGAAAGTTTCAAAACCTAAGTCACCGGTACCGGTAATCGATTCGTGTAACAGGGGCCTTTATGTTTATTATTGTGACAGACGATTGGACGAATTTGAAAATAAAAAATTTAGATGATACGCGGTTTAAAACCTTTTTT